TTGCTATTGGACAGATACTGCCAGGCCTTGGCTCTGAGGGAGGAGGGGATCCCCTTCCGGCAACGCAGCTTCACCTAAGGCAGAGTGGCACGCAGGGGGACAGCTTCAGGACCTAGCCCAGCCTCCAAGTTTTCCCCAGCTATTCTCAAGTTCCTTGAGACACCCCTCCTACATCCATATGCTTGACACCACTAGACCTGGCCTGGCCTTCTATCTTTAAAGCTAATCCTCCCCCTGGCACAAATATCAGCTCTCCTCAATGTGGTCCAGAGAGCAGATACTATCATGTTGGGGGGGGGGGGCTTCCCCAGAGTACAAGGGCCCATCCTACCCGAGCCCCACCCCCCTTGTCCATTGCCCTGCCCACTACTTAGCCTTCTCCAACCTTCTGGAAACGCCGTGACAGCCACTTATCCCAGTTACTGAACATCTCCAGCCATTTGAGCTCCCGCTGTCGAGCCACATCCACTGGAATACAGCTCTCTCTGCAGGATGGGGGGAGCATGGAAGGGGTCAGTAGCAGTAGTATAAAACCTGGATTGCTAGGGGAAAAGAGGCAAACTACCTCCCCCCAAGACTCTAATAAGAGACTGGACATAAAAGTATTCTGTGAGCTGCCAAACTACAGGACTTCTGGAGACTTGGCTACCCAAGTCCCTAGTTCACCAAACTGAAGACTTTTCCCCTTTGGAAGGGATCTCTGCACAGACATTGTGTTCTGACGTTGGATCTATATACAGAAGTGTGATTAAGTCTCACTCTGACATCTATAAGTTTGGGGAGAGAATATGGAGTGTTTAAAACCATACTTTGCATTAGACCTGGATCCAAGTTCTAGCTTTACCATTTATTCATTCATTGTGTCAACTTAGGCAAGTCACTTAATACCTCTAAGTCCCAATTTCCTCATTTGTAAGATGGAGAAAAAAACAGTATCTACCAGAGTTTATATGAGATAACATATAGCAGGGGCACAGTAAGTATTACCAATTATTATCCATAAAATAAAATATAGAACATATATACTTTTGTCTCTTCAGAAGCAAATGAATTTTCTCCTCCCTGACTCTTGAGATTCCTTGGGCTATCGGCAATTACCTTCACCTCTTCCTCCCTGAAATCATCCCAGATTCCTCAGCAAATAAAGCTTTCCTTACTCTGTTTGCCCACTGCTCTGTCAGAACTTCACATTCAAGATGCCCCATCAGTCTTGAAACAGTTACTTATAGGAGCCAGTACCAGGAGGTGAGTGGAATGGAAGAACTTGGGTTTCCAGAGAGACCTGAACTCAAATCCTAGTTATGTTCCTTAGAAGTTGGGGTGTCTTGGCAAGTGATAAACTGAGTCTCTTCCTCATCTGTAAAAAGGAATATCACCACCTACATCACAAAGTTATGAGAAGACTGTTGAGAAACTTATAAAGGACAGTTAAGTGTAAGGGCTCATTAAATGTGAGTTTCTTTTGTCCTAGAAGTTCCTTAAACAGAGAGAAACTCTCTCATTAATCTCTTAAAGTCAGTTCCAAACTCTACTAAAGGCCAGGATGAGTAAAAAAGCTTTCCTGCCCTCAAGAAGGTTACAAGTTACTAAGGGAAATGATTACATATGGTGTCTAACATGCAATGACAAAAATGCACAGAAGTACCTACTTAAGAGTAGGAAAAATGGGTATCAGGGAAGGCTTCCTGGAGGGAACATCTGGGGCAAGCCACGAAAAGACCAAGCAGAACTCGGCAGGAAAAGGAGGCATCCCTGACCTAAGTATAAATCAGTTCAACAGGACCACAGCACTAAGTGCATGGTGAGGAGGAGTGGGAGAAAAGACCAGAGAGGTTAGCAGAGCCAGATGATAAGAAGCCTATGGGTAGGCTAAAGCACTTGGACCTTATACTTTGGCCAGTGAGGAGCCCCTAAAAGTTTTTAAGGTATATGGGGCCCTGTCAGTCTCACCTCAGTAGATTCTTCCAGCATGGAAGATGGATTTTAGAGGGACAATACAACAAAGCAGAGAAATAGCACCCAGCACAGCACCTGGCACACAAGCAGGGCTCACTAAATCCAATTCAATCCAAGTTCCTAGGGCAACATGGTATTCAGGAGAGAAACACTAGTCCCACAAATCCGTATTATATGAGTGAGGCAATCCACTCTACTGCTTCTTCATCAGTAAACTGGGTACAACACATTCAGGGAAAACATCAGGGTCATATTTCAGTTTCCTTTCCCTCATAGGACCATGAATGTTGGTGCTCAAAGGTTTTCCGATTATTTTGTTGGATTACAAATCCTGCCTAGAATATGGCCTAGAATACAGGGCTTCTCCCAACACCAGGCAGGTCCCCCACCAACCCCAACAGGCCCGGCCATAACTAAATGCTACTCATTCTTCATGATTCAGATCAGCATCTGCTGCATTCCCAGACTGGACAAAAGATCGCTTCCCTAGGTGCTTACAAAATCCTGTGATGATCTCTAAGTTAAACCTAACACACATTGAAACCAAGTATTTAAGTATGTTTCTTCCTCCAGATGATGACCATCTTGAGATGAGTATTTTAGCCTTAACATCCTGCACAGGGCCTGTCATCTGGCTGCTCAGGTGATGCTGAACTAACCAGCAGCTTACAGGGGCACAGAGATGATGGGCAAGATCAAACAGAGAGAGAAGGAAGAAGTCAAAGGTGCTCCCGCCCCCACCTCAGGAGTGACTCAGGCCCCTGGAGGGAACTAGGAAAGAGTAAACTGGGTTGGGGAGATGAGGAAATGGGGAAGACACCTTCCCCACCCCCTTTCCCTCACTGAAAACACAAGTCTGCCCTTCTCTGTTTCACAGAGGAGTCTGGCCTTCAGGGTCTCCCCTCCCTAAATCCAATTTCTCTCCCTCCCCACCCCATCAGACCTAGAGTTATGAGGAAAGTGAAGTGCCTGCTTCACTCCCCAGACTCTTTCCCACTATGGTACCAAAGATCTCTACCAGAATCCCTGCCCAGCCAACCCTCTACAATATCTGGCCCAAAGCTGGAGTTTCATATCAAACTGGGACAAGCTTAGATATCATCTCACTCAACCTTTCACTTCAAAGAGCAAACTGAGGCACAAAAATGAGGAAGATATCAGCTCAAGGACATACACTAAACCAAAGGCAAGGCTTAGGCTCAACCCCAGAACTTCTGACGCCTGCTCTAAAACTCACAAGCATAACAGCGTGCAGAAACTTCAGGGTACTCTAGAGCATGAGAGGAATCATCAAGTATCCCACACTCCCGGTAATCACCCCTGGATCCTTAGAGGCTGGGCTGCCAGTCAGGGCAAGATGCTTCCTTTTTTCCTTCCCCAAACCTCTGCTTCCCTGAAGCAGTCCCACTGGGTGCCCACTGGATACTCACAGGCTGCCCGAATACTGGCTGCCCCCAAGGAAGCCATACTTGTCCGTCTTCCGCAGGGCCAGCCCATTTACCTCCGAGTCTGAGCCCATGGAGCTCACATCATCCGGCAAGGACTCCAAGGTCCCAGACATGAGGCTTACGGAGTCCAAGCAGCTCACAGTGTCCGGGGCCTGCCCTCGAGGCCCAGAAATGCCAGGTCCTAGGCTGGACGTGGAGCCTAAGTCCTGAGAGTTTTCAGTAGGCTCTGAAGCAGGAGTCACCGTCACAACAGCTACCAGAGCCTCACTAGTTCCTGAAGGGCCTGTGCCAGACCCTGAGGGGTCCTCTTGAACCTGTCTTGTTGATGCTGATGATGCCACTGCAGCTCCATGTTCACTTGTCACCTCTCCTGCTGTCACTGCTGCAATTGCTGCAGTCATTCCTGAGGCCACTGTGGTTCCCGGCTTGGGGGCAAGCGGGGGTTTGGCGGTCAGAGCTCCAGGAGCCATTCTGGAAGGGGTCCTGGTGGAGGTCCCAGTGGAGGTCCCTGGTCCAGAAGCGGGTGAGGTTCTAGTCTCCTCGGTCTTAAGAGACTCTGCCCCTACAGCCAGAGCCATCGACGTCTCCTCTCTTATTACTGTCTTGGGCTCCAAGGGCTCCGGCCCGGGGGAGACGTGGGTTTCGGGTGAGGCCTCCAAAGTTAGCACAACCACAGTGCTGCCCGTGACCGTGGGGGCCGAGACCAGGGCCGACGTCTGGGTCGGCCCGGGTACCCAGGCGGGCCGTGCCTCCCCGGGGGCCACCAGGGTGACCGGGGCTGAGGTGGCCGTGGTCACTGGCGGCCCCGGGGCAACCACCACGACGGGCCCGGCCCGGGAGCCGCGGGGCGGCGGCGAGGGGGCCTGGGGGGCGCCATGACGGCGCGGCGGGGCCACAAGCGGCGCCGGGCCCGTCTCCATGGCTGCCGGCCGGCCCTCACATCCCCCCCACCCCAGCCGGGACGGCCACAGAAGGCACCGCCCCTCAGGCAGCTCCGCACCGCCAGCCGAGGTAGGGGAGGTGAAGGGCGCGGCCGGGGCGGGGGCGGCGCACAGGCTGCCACTGGACACGCGGAAGCGGCGCAGGGATCCGGGGAGGCCTGGCGCCCGGGTCTCGCTCGCGCCTTCTCACCCCTAGAGCTCTGTCGCCGCCGCCCCCTCCCTTCTGCTTCGCGCAAGCAGTCAACCTCGCGCCTGCGCACACGCCCGGATGCCGGCTAAGCAGCCAGCTTTTCACGCCTGCGCGCGGGCCATCCCGTCCGCGCTTCTTTTTACTCCCGCCTCCTTATAGGATTTGGACGAATAATAGGAGAGAGGGAACTGGGTTTCTGCGAATCGTTGGAAGGGTGGGTGAGGTTGGAGGTGGGAAAAGGTAATGGAAGGGAAGTACGAGACCAATGAGAGGGCGATTAAAGGCCGGAGGAGGCGGGATGAAGAAAATAACTAACAGAAAAGCAGAAAGCTGAACCTCCTAGCCAGTAACAATGGTGGAAGATTGAATGACCGCAGCAGGAGGCGGGTACTATGAAAGAACAAGGGGGCCTAGCTAATAGGAACGGTAAAAAGGCAGCCAATGAAAAAAGGAACAGGCGGAGGTCAAATTGACAGACAGTGACGTCTTTTTAGGCAGTGACAGACAGTATCCTCAGTCAATGGGAAGAGCTTGGAAATTCTTCAGTTCTCCCAAGAAGGTCAGAAGGAATGACAGCTGGGAAGGGGGGAGAGGGACGGGCTAAATTTGCGATTAATATGCCTTGTCAGCCAATAAGCGCCTTCTCTCACTTTAGCAACAGAGGGGTAAAATAAATCACTGTCTCAGCCAATGGCAGAACCCAAAGGGTGCTGCCAGCAGGCGGTGCCAGCTCAGGGATATCTGTGACAACCGGAGACAAGCGCAAGAGGCGGGTGACAGCTGGGGACATCGCGAAGAGACGGGAGCCGGGAACAGTAGTGAAGCCCTTAGCCAATAAGAGTGCCGTTCTGCCCTCCCTAAGTCCTTTCTGGGTCCCCATTCTCCATCCAGCTGCCGATCCCCGCCCCCCACTCTTGTGGTATGTAAGACCCTGAGCTCTAAAGTAGAGCAAGTGCCCTGATCCGGGACTCTCCACCTCCACTGTCTCTGATTCCCTTCCAGCCTCTCAACCAATCCCAACACTTCAAGCCCCGACCACTATAACCAGAGCTCCCACATGATCTAAATGACCCATCTCGTTGAATTTGCCATTTCCTGTAGGATTTCCAAGCCCCAAACCCCTCTATGTGAACTCCTCCCCAGACTCCGGGCTCCAGTTACTCATACCTCATCCTTTGAGTGTGTCCCATTTAGTGGGGATCCCAGACCCCAAACCATGAATTCCCAAAACCTTGAAATCCCATATCTGTGTTCTCACTGTTTCAGGGACCCAAGACCCTTCTATCAACTCCTAGCTCCTCATTGCCACACTTCTCTGTGCTCCTTATTTTCTGCTAAGAAACTGGACCGCAATCTTATGAGCTCCCAGCCTAATCCTAGACCACAAACACAAAGTCCTGACTTTCTGAGCTCCTTCTCTGTCTGGCGCCTATTACCCTGAGCCCCACAGGTAGAGGATGCCAATTTCCATAAAGAGTCCACCATCTTGAAATTTCAGTCAGGCCTAACTCGCCAGTTCCTCCTTGGTTTCTAAGTTCTCTGAAGCTCCTCAGACTCAGATCTTGTGAACTCCCATTCAGTGTCTGAGATATACCACTCCTGAGCTCCTTCTCAACTTCCCAACTTTCCAGGTGATCCGAGCTTTCTGAACACTTCTCCCATTTCTGTCTTTGGAGTTCTCCTCTTCTCCCAGAACCCAGTAATAAGTGGGCTCTTCCCTGGGCCCGGACCCCCATGGTAACCTTATAAGGTGAGGCAGCTGTCAAACGAGACAGGGAGGGGCCAGTTCAGGAGGCCAAGGACAGCTGCTAAGTTTAGGGTGGTTCCTTCGCTCTTCTTAGAGACAACAGGTGGCTGAGCCCCAGTGCCCAGAAAAGAAAATGTCTTAGAGGCATTGGCATGAGGCTGGAGGAGAGGAAGGGGAGGAGGCACCTTGCTCAGGACATCAGGTCCTAGAGAGAGCAAGAGGAGGTATCATTGCCAACCTTTGGGCCTCTTGGAGTTTCCTCAGCCACTATTGCCCCTGACCTCTACTGTATGGAGGGGACTGGGGCGCTGAGGCCTAGAGGGGTAGGAGAGAGTACCTCAGAGTCACACAGTCAGCCAAGCTGGTTCTTTCCCAGAATGGAGAGAGAAGCCTCTGACCATTTCAGTCAACCAAGAGGAGGTGACTGACTAGTTTCCTTCTTGGTATCTCTGACTCCCTTCCTCTGAGTTCTAACTTTCACACCAGTATCCAAAGAAATGGTTATAGATTGTCACACTAGACCATGTTCTTCTCCTGTTTCAAACCTGTCCAAGGCTCCCAAGGTCTCAGCTCTCAGCCTGGCATGAAAGCTCTCCAGTGTGAAAGAAGTTACGATCCTCTGCTCAAACCCCATCACAATTCTGGCAACCTGAACATGTCTGATCCTTCACTGCTCCAGGCCTTTGCTCATCCATGCCCTCTGCTTAGCACACCTGCCCCTCCACATTCACCTGACTCAGTTCTGTTGGTCTTCATAAAGTCACTCCCGTGCTGTAGACAGGGCTGCTGTGCCCTCTACTTTTATGTCACTTTATTTATCCTGTCTCCATGACTGAACTGTAAGATTACCAAGCCAGGGCCTAAGTAATAATTAGGATTCTATTTCACTAAACTATTTCCAAATAGTGTTCACATCAACAAGTTCTGTAAGATGAGACTTACATCTCATTTTATAGAAAGGGAAACTAAAGCGCAGGGAGTTGAATCTCGAAGCCCAAGATGACAGAGTAGGCTCTCTGCCCTAAGCTGTGTAGCCTCTTCATACCTAGTGATTGCATGCTCTGCATCTTTCCTCATAAAATCCTCCCTCTCTTAGAAAGTAATAAAGATGACTTCCCTGATCTTTCCATCTTTCAGTTTCCCCAGACAGCTCTCTCCCACCTTTAAACTCTGCCACTACCCCCACACATGCCCACACGTGACTGTGAAATCCAAATGGGAGGAAGGTTTGCCAGAGTGTGCCCATAAGGCATAGCACAGCACCCAACACACTATAGATGCTCAATAAATTTACTGGGTTTCCCACCCCCCTCAGGGTTGCAGGGGCCTAGTTCATCTCTCTCTGAGCACTGTGCCCTGGCTCGGGCCCTCTCTGAACTCTCAAATATTTCAGTCCCATTTTGAGACAAAGTACATCACTTCCTGCTCAGATCCTAGTGAGACGTGCATCCCAAGACTCACTCCCTCCTCCCTCTCTCCCTGGACTCCAGCTGCTGCAGGCCCTCCAAGAAAGGAAAGGTCCTGAGCCAGGCTATTTTGGTATCTGGGGTGGGCACCCACAGGGCTAAGGTTACCTTGGTATGTTAAGGGCTCCCTAGGGCAGGGCTATATAACCCCAGAGGGACTACTGCAGGCTGACTGTCTGCCGCTTTCCAGCTTTCCCCCAGGAGACTGAAGACATGGTGAGAATCCCTCAACCCCTTCCCGGATCCCTCAGACCTCAGGGCAGCCTTAACCTTTGAAAGAAGGTAGCTGGTTCCCCGTCCATCAAGATGAAAACAGATGAATCCTCTCTTTGTGGGTGTCACTAATAGGGAGCATATAGAATGTTGGCCTAACGGACCCAACCAAGGATAATCCACTCACAGGAGCCCAGTCCCTCTCAAAGCACGCTCCATGCCTTCCTGCACTCCGTCTTCCTAAAATCCTCTGGGACCAAGCAGGCAAGAATTCCCACTCCTGTTTTATAAATGAGGTAGTAGTTTCATCGAGAATGAGTGAGTGAATCGGGGTCATACAGGACGTCTGGAACTCAGAGGAGGTAGGCTCAGGGCGCTGAGAGGAGGAACCTTCCACTTGTTGGGTGGGGTGGAGGGGTGGGACTCTAGGACTACAGGTAGGAATTTGAGGGTGCAACCCAAGCAAACACCCTCAGCAAAGAAGTCATAAAGAGAGAGAAGCCTAAAGCCAAGTTGCTTCACAAGAATCCTAAAGATTTAAAGAACCCTAAATCTAATCCATTGCCTCCAGAGAATAGTAGGATCCGGCCCATGAGTCCCTTTGCTCTCCCCAGGCACCCAAGAAGGCCAAGAGAAGGGCAGCAGAGGGCGGAAGCTCCAATGTCTTCTCAATGTTTGACCAGACTCAGATCCAGGAGTTCAAGGAGGTGAGTGAAAGGAAAGGGGAGACCGAACGCGGACCAAAGGCACCGCCCCAGTTCCCTTCCCCCCATACCCATGCCCCTGCATGTGCACCTGTTTTAGTGGGGAGAAAAGGGTTTAGAATTCCTTGCTCCCTCCCTTCTTGGCATGTAAGAGGACAACTGGCTGGGGACCAGAATCAGATCTGCCTGGAGTAAGGATGCTAAAGCCTGGCCATGGGGGGCCTAACTCCTCCCTGCCCCTGACCTCCACAGGCCTTCACAGTAATTGACCAGAACCGTGATGGCATTATTGACAAGGAAGACCTGCGGGACACCTTTGCAGCCATGGGTATGTCCAGCACCCCCCCAACCCCACCCATAAATATCCAAGGCTGTAGAGTCCAGGGAATTCAGCAGCTTTGGGAGCCAGCCCTGCTGGCTCCACTCTGGGCCTCAGTCTACCCACATGAAAAATGGGTGTGATTATCTAAATTTATGAGGAGCATTACTCTCTGGACCCAAGATCCCCCTCCAGCCGATCCTTCCCGCACCCCACTCCAGGGCGCCTCAATGTGAAGAATGAGGAGTTGGATGCCATGATGAAGGAAGCCAGCGGTCCCATCAACTTCACTGTCTTCCTGACCATGTTTGGGGAGAAGCTCAAAGGTAAATGAAGTGTCCTGGGTCCAAGCTCCCAGCTGCCTCTTCCCAGACCTTTTAGGGACAGACCTTTCAGGGATCCTTCAGCTTCATGTGCCCTCTGACCCCAGGTGCTGACCCTGAGGACGTGATCACTGGAGCCTTTAAAGTCCTGGACCCTGAGGGGAAGGGAACTATCAAGAAGCAGTTGTAAGTGACCCCTTCCAGCTGCTTACCCTAAAGAAGTCTCCCTAAATTCCTACCAAGGGTTAAGCACTGCCAGGGATAATGGAGAAATGAGGACTGTGGATTAGGATTAAATTTTCACAGCACCTATGGGTAGAAGCACAAAAACCAGAAGCCTTTTGTGATTGTGTTTGGAAGATCACTGGAAAGATCTAGAAAGACCCTGTTATTTTTAAGACTTTACTTATTTTTAGACAGTGGGGAAGGGAGGGCGAAAGAAAGGAAAACATTCAGTGTGTGGGTGCCTCTGGGGAGTGCCCCCTCTGGCCTGCAACCCACGCATGTGCCCTGACTGGGAATCGCACCCCCCGACCCTTTGGTTCACATGCCACAGGCCAGCGCTCAATCCACTGAGCCACACCAACCAGGGCAGACCCGGTTTTCAAGGCAAAACTGGAACTAGCAGCAAGAATGAGGTGGGGGTAAAAAGAATTTACTCGGCCTAACCTCAGCTCCTCCCATGTCACCTCTCTCCAGCTTGGAGGAGCTACTTACCACCCAGTGTGACCGCTTCTCCCAGGAAGAAGTGAGTGGGGGAGGGGCCAGGTGAAGGGGAGGATGGGGGAGGGGAGCCTAAGGAGCCGTTAGGAGACCCAGTCTTGCAATCTTTCCCCAGATTAAGAACATGTGGGCAGCCTTCCCTCCTGACGTGGGGGGCAACGTAGACTACAAGAATATCTGCTACGTCATCACACATGGTGATGCCAAGGACCAGGAGTAGAGGACCATTTTAAGGCCTCTGCTAGCCATCGCCTTCCTGCCAGCCTGACCCCCACCCCTAGTCGTAATAAAATCGAACTGGTCTTTGTTTCTTATCCGTAGCGCCATCAGTGTGCAATTCTGAGGGACTCGGGGGGAGGGTGGGCTGAAACACTGCTGGTACAAAGCAAGTGCCCAACAAATGAATGGAGCCCTGAATGGAAGGCCGGAATGAAAACTGCACCAGCAATGTCCGCCGCTTATTCCCACTGGGAAAGAGAAGACGCTTGGCCTCGGGAAACAGTTTTTATAGAAGACAGAGTTCGGGTGTCGAGGGGCAGGGCGGGGATGGTGTGGTCAGGTGGTTAGGGGCTGGACTAGAAGCTTGGGGTCTGAAAGTGGGCGGGGCGGGGATGACAGCGGGGGCGGGGCCAAAGACAGGACTAAACTGGGATTGGGAGAACCTTTTAGCTGGAGAACCCGGTGCTTCTGGAGGCTTCCAGATTGGGTGGCAAAGCAACCTGGGGCTCGGGAATTCAACAAGAGACGGCCCCAAGACTGAGCCAAAGTCAAACTACACACCGGCAGCGGGGGTCTTAGAGAGAGTCCTGCTGCTCCCCTTGAGCCTGGCTCTGCTGCATCTGGGCCTGCATCTTCTCCAGCATCTCTTGCATGCGACGCAGCTGTGCAGGGAAAGATTGCAGGCGATGGGGCTGGGCGAGGCCAGGGAGGGACTTTTTCAAAGAGGATGGGGGAGGCGAGGTGTTTGCTTACTTCTTCGTCTTTCTCGCGGATTAATTTCTCCGTCTCAGCCAGAGGCAGCATGGGCAGCGGGATCTCTGTGGTGCTCCGGCGGGAAAGCTTACTAGGTGGTAGGAAAAAGGAACAAGGATCAAGGGGCCTGTGGTTGTGTCTGCAACGAGATTGGACTCCAGGAGGAGTGCCCTCGTTCTTGACATTAGAGCCATAAGTGGGTGGGGAAAGACTCTGGGAGAGAGGTCTGGAGGGTGAAGGTGGGGTCATGGATGTCGTGAGAGCGAGGCTTTGGAAGCACCTAGGAATCAGCTTCAACTCTCACCTACGGCTGGCTCGATCGCGCGCCCCAGGTCGGGCCAGGCTCTGCAGGCAGCGGGCCCGGTAGCCCTCATAGAGCAGATCGTGTGTCACTTCCTTCAGGTCCTGCAGGTGTGTCTGCACCAGCAGCCGACGCAGGTTCAGGAAGTCGCAGTGATGTGGATTCTCCACTGGGGGACGTACCGCGTGCCTCAGGGAGCTGGGTGGGCTCTTCCCGCAGTCCTGCCCCTACCCTAGGGGAAGTTCTGTACCCGCCTGCTCAGGGACCTCTCATTTGGCTCCTAGAACCTCCAAGGCCAGAGCTCGCCCCATCATCACATATTGGGTGCGGTTGACTTGGAGGTGGCCTCGTCTCCCTGCTGGCCTCATAACGTGTGCCGGGACTTACTCACCTTCCACGGTTCCCCAGGGGTAGTGGCGTCCCCTCACTGGTCGGGTCCCGCTGTCCCTCACTACCTCACTTGAACCAACAACTGCGAAAGGGATGCTTTCCTAGAGGGCAGTAGTCAGGGATCAACCTCCAAGGCAGAAACTTCTTTCTCAGCCTCTATCTCTACATTTGCCTCCCCTGCTTCCTCCCTTCCTCCCTTCCTTCCTCTGCACCTTCATCTCCGCATCCTGCCTCTTGAAGTCTTCATCCTCATCAGAATCACAATCAGGGAACTGGTAGATGTTGATCTCCTCCTCCTTCAACTGGTCCCGGATCTCTCGGAGAAAACAGGTACTGAGACAGTGAGTAACTTCACAGAGGCTGTGAGCAACAGACACTGCATGTCCAGAGACAGATTCAGATACACATATCAGGAAGTCAGAGACGGGAGGACGTGCAAGACAGAGATGGTGAGAAGTGAACATCCAGGATGACCAAAACCGAAATCTCAGCAATAATGAGACAGGCATAGATGGTGAAAACTGAAACAAAGATACCTTAACAGCCAAGGCAGAGGCCTGGAAAGATTCTAAGATGAGGCAGATGCCGAAATACTAGGAAACAGAGACACAGCAGAAACAGCAGAAGAGAGCTCTGAAGACCCTGGGGGGGGGGGGGGCGGGCGGGTCATCATTCTATGCCTCTGCCCTCCTACAGGCCTTGGCTAAGCGTCCAGCCCAGGGACTCCATTCTGAGGCTCCAGAGACAGTTCCCTCAGGCAGCTCACTACTGACCTTCCTCAGAAACTCTCTAGGGCAGTGGGGGGAGATAGAAGGTGGTAAAGGTGCGATTAAAGGGGAATGGAAAGAGACGATTTGGGGTGGTAAACACAGTGCAATGTACAGATGATGTACTGTAGAATTATATACCTGAAACCTAGATAATTTTAATAATGTCACCCCGATAAATTCAATTAAACAACTTTGGGGGAAAGAATAAAGACATTTTCTTTAATAATGTAGCATCATACATCATGCTCCAAGAATCCACCCCAAGATCAAATAAGTCAAAGCGCAGTTCAGGTTTAATCATCACTTTTGGCTTTATGTAGGGCCCAAGATCAGAAGTCACCGCACACCTTCTGCTTGAGGGCCTGGGTTTCCTTAGGCATCAGGGCATCTGCTTTGCCAATGACTGGGATGATATTGACCTTCTCGTGCACCGCCCGCAGAAAGGCCACATCTAGAGGCCGGAGCCTGCACCCAGGGATTGGTCAGGGTTTGGTGTCAAGGTACAGGGACGCCCCCCAAACCCCCCCAAATGCCCCAACACCCAAGGTGCACTCCAGACCCCCTGCCAAAGGGTGAGATGAAGTAGAGGCAGCAGTGGACACGGGAATCCTGGATGTTCTTCCGGTTCAGGCCACTCTCATCCCTCAGATACTGCTCAAATTGTTCCTCAATGAAGCGTACCACGGGCAGCCAGCTGGGATGTGGGGAGAGGAGAGAGCTGTGGTCAGGTCGGAGGCCACATGGTGAGGAAGGGGGTAAGGCCAGCCAGGTCGGTGGAGGTGGGAAGTAGTTCCTTTGTCTCCAACCAAAGAAATTAGGAAACTGGCAGAGTCATAAGTGAGGTGTTGGGAAGCACAGGGCACTCTGGGCCGTGTGGCCATCAGAAACAGCCCCCCCCATATTTGGGTCAGGGTGGGTGGGAGACCATGGCAGGCCAGCCCTATAACTGACCCCTCAGTCTCCACAGAGCAGCCGTTTTGGAAGCCTATCCCTCATTCCCTCCCCCACACCTCACCAGTCTGAGCAATCCATGGAGTCCCCAAAGCCAGGTGTGTCCACCAGGGTCAGCTTCACCCTAATACCCCCCTCTTCAATCTCCACACCCCGACGCTCAATAGTCAGCGTTTGTGTCAAGCAAGCTGTGGGGAGAGATTAGGAAACTGGGTAGGGGTCTGAAGCAGGACTAATTTCCTTTCTCAGTATCACAGTCGCCCCCACCTATTTTTTTCAGGGGAGGAAACCATGTCAGCAAACAGTAAGCTGCATGAATGCCCCAAAAAGTCATTGCAGACCCAGATGGAAAGGAAGAGAGTGTAGCAGGGAAATCTAGGAAGGGGACACAGAGTACCTGGAGGGGAGGGGAGGGGTCTTACCACTGGCCTCTGGCAGTTGCCGATCTTCGTAGAGGTTGGTGAGAAACAGGCTGTTGATGAGGGTGGATTTCCCCAGGCCTGACTCCCCTGTGGATAGGTCAGGTCCAGTTCCTCAAGTGAGGGGACAGCCAGGGTCTCCTGAGGACCCACCACCAGTCCCCTCTCAAAAACATCCAGACCTGCCACCATGAGCGTGAAGTCAAACCCCTTCTTGATGGACTTGCGGTGCAGCTGGTTGGGGAGGGCTGCAAAACCCACATACTCCTTGTCCTGTTGGTGGAGGGTAAACAATATGAGGCTGCTGGGAGTAGCAGACAGGGCCACTAATAGAACCTGATCTCAGGGACTAGGAGAAGTCAGACCTTCTATGGACTGACCCAGGCCTGGCTACCCTGGCGGTTGGAGCTAGTGTCAGAGATGCCTAGATTCCTGGGCATAAGGACTCACCATGGCCCCGCTAGCTGTTGCTGCACCTGCTGTCTCTCCCCACTTCCTCTGGTGGGGCAGGAAGTTGAGTGCAGCAAACAAGGGGGCGGGCAATATAGGAAGCTGAGATGCTTTAACTTGCCCAAGGAAACCCAAGACCAAGAACACCTGGGGTCCTTACCATCTGGATCCCTCTGCCCATTACCCCTATAGGATTCTTCAGCCCCTCCTTTCTTTGCACACCTTTCTCCCAAGCCCCACTGTCCCACCCATCACTCTGGTGCAAGGTGGGGTATAGGCAGAGAGGAAAGAAGGAGGATGGTCTCTCTAGCTGTGAGATGAAGGCTTTGACAAGGATGGTTAAAAAAAAAAGATCCTAGGTCTGTGTGGGTCAAAAGCCAATAATGGGATTAGAGGTGGGAGGGGCCATCAGTTTTTCCTGCCAGCTCACACAATGGATTTTTTTTTTAATGTAGTGGATCCTTAAAAAGACATCAGATCTTTGGACAACACAGTCAAAAAGAACTTCCTTACAATCCTGGCTAATGTGTTCCCCTGCTTGAAACCCTTCCAGGGTTCCCCAGTGACCTCAGAATCAAACCAAACTTCTGACCTGGCAGCCAAAGCCTTCCCCATCTGACCTCATCACCCCATTACTCACTCGCCCTTAGCAAGTGCCCACATCCTAGACTCTGCCCATATTGAGCTTTTCCTTCTTTTGCACCAGGTGAACTCTTCATCCTTCAAGGGTTTGCTTCAAAGGACTCTTTGTCCTTTGAAATCTTCCACAACTACCCTAAGCAGAGTCATTTTCCCTCCTCTGGACTTCCCAGCACCTTTAACCCCCCCCCCCCCCCATGACCACATTTGCTCACCCGAATGTCTCTTCTTTCATGGCTGAGCTTGCTAAATGCAGGCACAATGTTTTCCTAATTTCTATATCCCCAGTGTCTTACACAGAGCCTAGCACAAAGAAGGTGCCAATAAACAGTATACTAGATGAATGTATGCATAAATGAATCAATAAATGAAATCAGTCAGGGCCAAAGGCTGGGAGGCTGTAGAACACGTAAAAGGAGCCT